ATCATTGATAAAAGTAATAAAATACCTGCTATCATCCAATGACTTAACCTCAATAGGACCACATGCATCAGAATTAATCAATTCTATTATGTTTTCTTTCCTCAAAAAATGCTTATGAAAGAAAGCTCTATGATGCTTATCATGCAAATAATGATCACATGAATCGAGAGACATACCTTCAATTAAGGAAATAAGAGACTGTTTGTCAAAACCTCTAAACCATTCTCGCTCATGTGCCAGCCTCTCGTGCCACATATTTGCTAAAGCATTATCTTTAACAGGATTTATTTGGTTAGCAATCAATTGCATCTATGTCTTGTACATTGTGTAGCATAGTTTTTTTCTTACAACTATCATTGATCCTTTAAGAAGCTTTCACTGCCCATTTTTTTGTTGATTCTTATATTTTTTTCTTATCAAGGATATTAATTGCAAGTAAATTTATTTTCATATTTAAAATATGTCTGACATCCCTCAAAGCCAACATACAACCCCTACTAATTTATATAATAATATCATCAATCATAACAATAAGTGATACAATCTTATTTTCAACATTCGTGCAATCAATAATCAACAACATAGGAAAAGTAAAGTACACCAAGATTTACGTGAAAAATCCTCTAGTGTATAAAAGAAAAAAATCATGGAACACCAAAAAAATTTCACTATCTAATAATGAATATATAAAGTTTTTCTCTAACTAAAACTATAGTTAATAAACAAGTAAAGAGATAATTAGAGAAATTTTACTAAATAGGTAACTCAACAAATATATCATAGATTTGTTTTTAAAAATCTTTACTGTTTAGAATTCAGAACATTAAATTATAAATGCACTAATAAAATTTTAATTTAATCGAATCATAAATCGACTTTCGTTCAACTTTCTGATCAAATTCTCCCTTCTCTTTATTTTCTCTCACATTTTTATGGTTATTTATTTTTTCTTTCTCTCGGTTTGTGGCGTCACTCTTATTCACCCAAAACAACTCCGACTTTTATTTTGTAGGGCTCTATTTTACGTTATGTCAAAAGACCCATTATCTATGATCGGTCAAAACCGAAGGAATGGGGTTGTACCCCAAGTTCCTAAGACTTTGGGCAATAAACACTCTGCTTTCCCTGGAAAGCATTTCTAATCAAGTTGAAAATCTGAAATCTAGATTGAAGGGTGTTTCTTTTATTCACACTTTGCGTGAAGCCAATTCAGTTGCTGATACGGTCTCAGGCCTTCTAGTCTTTTATACTGTTATCATTTATTTTATTTTAATAAAATAATTCTATCCTCGATGGCTACTTTTACTATATTATATATTTCATAAAATCTAAAAATAATATAAATAGGCTAAACTTAAACCCATCCCGAACCCAAAATATCAAAATTTGAAATGATTCGAATCTAAAAAAATCTTGAATCTGAAGTGACCCAAGTCCAAAATAATTCATCCTGAAAATACCCGGACCTGCCTATTTGCAACTTAAACTCAAACTTACCAAAACTAGGTTGGATAATTGTCCCTTTGACAGCAGACAAGGACAATGATATTTAATCTGGGGGTGTTTAATTTTTTTTTATGCTAAAAGGTTTAAGTTTCATGATTAAATTTTACGTGACTTTTAAGTTTTAAGCTAAAAATCCTAACACTGGAGTAGCAAGATATATATATATATATATATATATATAATTGATGCAATAAACGTTGGTATTTCAAATAATATAAATTAAAAAATTACCCATATATATATAAATAGTAGATTAGAATAAATTCAAAAGAAATTTCAAATTGAGATTCAAAATTACATGATTAAGAATTTTCTTGAAATATTATGTCTACAGTCGGAGAAACATATAATTTAATTCTTTGTCAGTTGTAAAATAGGATAGCTAGAATTATTTAAGAAGATAAAATTAGTTTACATGTTGTGAAAAAAAAAATTGCACTCCATTATTTGGTTTAATGATTTATACAAATTTTCCTTTATTTAAAGAATCATGTCGGAATCCCCATATTTCCAAAAAAAAATAAATAAATAAAATCTATATTTCAAATAAAGAATACCTTTTTATGTTCTATATTAATTTTTAATATAACTTTTATATTAACTAAAGTTTGAGTGTAAACTGAAATATGCTTTTAATAAATTTCTTTTCAATTTAGTTATGCTTGAATGAAGAATTTTGAGAACGAACTATTAATATATGGTTTGTGGAAATTAATTCGTATGGAAGTCTCCTTTAATTTTGCAACAAGGAAAGAAACTATATATATATATATAGGAATTAAGTCGTCCCTAATAAAATTTAAAAAAAAAAACACACAAAAAAAAAAGCAAAAGTTGTTTCTAACCACAGCTATGACGCTTCTAGAAGATTTTGAAGTACTGCTTTTTGTTCTGCCTAATTTGCCATTTTCGCCAAAACTTTCTATTACATTAACGCTGTTTTACCATTTACCATAATTTTTAGGTCATTTCTGTAATTTACACAAAATACGGATTTAATCTCTATATATACATTAATTTTTATATAAAAAATATCTATACTTTTCGTAATTTTGAATTTCCATCTAATCATAAATGATGTTAAATTTTTTCCATTAAAATCGATGATGTATCCGCTGACAAATCCAATTGAGGTGGCGTTAATCCAATAACATGGATAAAAAATTTGCTAAATGGACCATTTTTATGACATGGAATTTCCATGTCAGCTTTTTTTCATAGAAAATTTCCCTTTTTGCAACAAAATTTCTTAAATCCCCCCCTGTAAGCAGCTAAACCCATATTCCAAAATACAAGTTTCAGAAAAAAAATCCACAATTTATCTATGTTCAGTTTTTTTTTTTTTTTTTTCATTTACCTTATCCTATTGCGTAGCCATCAGCTGCTTCAAACCTCCATTGACGATTCACATTTTCTTTGTCCTACGAACATTAAATTAGAACTCAAAACTTAAGAAAATTTTTACAGAAACAATCAACAACCAACATTCTTTCAATTTGAAAATTGATTGAAGAAGACATCCACAAATTTCCAAATAATTAATCTTTGAACAAAAAAGAAAACGAAAATTGCAAGACATTGGGCATATATGTCTTGCCCGCTTCAAAGCCCTAACAAATAAACTTTCACCAACAAAGCATCGATCTGGAAAAGAATGGCCGGTTTTAATGCTTAGAATTAAAGAAACTCATAAACCAATGAGTTAAAACACTCTGCTTAAGGTAAGCGAGTGAGAGTACGGGTGTTTTATTTATAGTATAAACTTGTATAAGTATAGCCCTTAAATAGTGGGAATACAATTGAAAAGGAAGTATACCTTATAAATGATGAGACAAGAATGATTTAAGATTTAAAACATTTTTACAAATATATCCCATAGATAATGGGATACACTTAAAGGAAAAATATCAACAGCTGTTGGCTTTTTTAGGTTGATTGACACGCAACTGACTCACATGGATTATATTGGATTATATTGAGTTGGTTGCATGGCTTCTTGCATGGGGCTGAGTTGGCTTGATTTGCATGGCTCTTTTATCGTGAGTGAGTTGACTCGGTTGCATGCTTAAACTTGAGTTGCATGGGTTGTCACATTAATAATTGCATGGCTCTTTATACTGTAACCAAGTTGACTCGATGCATGGGTTGTTGCATGAGTAGTTACAAGACTTTTTGTATTAAGACTGAGTTGACTCGGTTTGCATTTTGCATGGCACTCATTGTATGATATTGTTTCATGACTCCTTAATAAGAATCACTACCCAACTTCTCTCTCCTTGACAATCTCTCCCTCCCCTTATGGTTTTCTTTTTTTACTCACCTGCATATTTTTCCTTGCCTTTGATTTCTTCATTCTCAAACCTTAGTTATTTTAAACGTTAGGTTTGAAGAATTTAATCTGTATTTTAGGTTTAATTGGTAGCAATCTTTGAAGCTTTGAGATAAGAAGACGAAAAGAGAAACAAATACTAGGATAAGAGAAACAAACTGATTAAATAAAGGGGGAAATAAGATTAAGGAGAAATTGTTGCGAGCAATGAGGATAAGTGGCAAATGGTGGTGGATCTAAGGGTTTTTGGGGTTTTTAGATTTTGCTCTTTTATGTTAAAGAGAAGATGATCTTCTTAAATCTATGCCAATTAAAAGATTTAGTAAAGTGAAAGGAAGAGAAAAGGGGAATTTTTGCGGTTACCGACAGCAGAAGGTGGTGGCCGAAGGTCGTCCGAATCTAGGTTTTAGAAAGAGAAAGGTGGCTATGGTCTGTTGCTTTTGGAAAGGGAAACTTAAAAATTTATGTTTTATAGAGAGAAAAAAAAAGAAGAAAAAAGAAAAAGAAAAAGAAAGAGGGTGAGAAGAGAAATAATTTTCCTCCATTTTTTTCTCAGTTGAATGGTTAAAGAAATCTTAAGGTTATTATTATTAGAAAAGAAGAATTACAACTAAATTCAAGCCATTAAGTTTAGCGTTTTGAAGGACGCTAGACTTAGGGAATCAGCGACGTGATTTGCTTCCATAAGAACATGAAAAAAGATATTTTCTTTACCCTAGCATGTAAGTTAGAAAACTTGTTGAAGAGGTCATTGTACTTCCATGGTCTTTGGTTAATATTGTTGAACCACGAGATAGCCACTTTTGAATAATTTTTTATCAATATTTTTCTAGCGGACTGTGATTAGATTCAACAATAATTGAGAGAGCCGAGAAGTTTCGCTAAGTTGGATTCTACAATGCTGACAATTTTGGAGAAGATAAGCAATACATGCCTCTTACAGTCTCGTAGTACACCACCAATCCCTTCCGGACCAGGCTTGCCGTTATAGAAAGGGAATGATTCGGACGGGGATATCTCGTCGTCCTTGAAAAAGAATAAGGCTAGTTTATTTTATTACTTATGAACGTCCAGGATCGAATTCATAAAAAAAAAAAAAAAAAAACCCCTTGGACCTTCATCTGCCATAACTAGTAAATGAAAAGTACTTTCTTATCTTCTTCCAATAACAAAAATATTTAGGCAATAAATAGTGACAAAAAATTACGTACAACGCTTCGAATGAATTCGTTTAGACAAACACAAACTAAAGCTTTAAATTCAACAATTACAGCATGGAAATACAAACGAAAACATTAAACACAACGATAACTATATGAAAATACATACTAAAGCTTTAAACACATTGATAACTACATGAAAATGCATACTAAAGCTTTTTAACTACATGAATCCCAACTTGGTCATGTATGTTTAAAGTGATGTAGAAAAAAGAGAGTGACTACTTCCTCGTTATTCACTTGAACGAATAAACAACTGCTTCGGATGATGCTTTAGCTAGCTGTTATTCCACTGGAAAATAAAGAAAATTTTATGTTAATTAATTAATTCTTCACCTTTTTTTTATCTTTCTTTAGGATGCAAAAGAAAAACAATATATGATTAAACTGACCGAAGCAATTGAGCTAAATGAGAAGCCTTAGAAAAATTGCCTTCTTCTCGTGCCTTGAGGATGCCGAAGATGAGAGCCAGGCGGATTTGAGTGATAGCACTTTGTTGGGTTATTTGGTTAGTTTCTTTCCTCAGTTGCTCGCATTCTTTTTCTATGGCTTCGAATTTTTCTCGAACTTGCCTTTGCCCTTCCTTAATGCTTTCCTGCTCTTTGCTTATCAGTTCCATCTCAGTTTTCAACCTTGTAAATCTTGTTGTCATACTTTTCTTTGCGTTCTTTCTCTGTCAATATCTATTAGTTAGAAACAAAGAAACTAAGGATATAAAGAGCTAAATGGTTCATACTAGACTGTTTTGTTATGGTGTAAAAAAGAATTCCAAGAATATATATTTATTACCTTTTGCTTGAAGCGTCGATGTTTGTTTGTTCCAGTGGATATGGTATGAGAAGAAGGCATGATCATCCTATATATTTCGCACAATGGCTACAATGAAACATGTCTTATATACTTGCTTCCCTTGGTTGCAGACTTGCAGCGTAAGGAAACTTGTCTTACAACTTTCAAGCAACTAAAACAAATATATCAAAAGATATATTAAAGGTCATTTTATTACTAATAAATGAATTATTATATTTTAATGAGTTAATTCTTTCAATTTTAAAAGATCGTATAATGAACTGTATTGTAAAAACTTCGTAAGCACGTATTTGACCTTTGACAAGAAATGTGCATTAATTAATTATCTTTTGTCATTCTAACTTTCTCCGCAAGCCTTTGGCAAAAGAAACGTTCGTACGTGGAATTGATGGCTTTCTCTTGGAAAAATAAGGCTGAAAGAAGACAAGAATACTGTGTTATCGATGTTTGAACTTGATCTTTTCGTAGTTTTTTCTTTTGTAAGTCGAGTACAACAAATGAAGTGTCCATCACCAAAGAAAATGATTTTAAGACGTGCTGTAAATGTCATTTTTATATCTATCAATTAAACTTTACAAAAAAGTTGAATCTTTTAAGATTCAATAAAATTTATGATTTGATTATTTTACAGTAAAAAAATCAAATCATTAAACACTTCTTGAAAAAAAATGAAAATATTTTATCTTTTAACAAAGTTTTCTGTTATAAAATGGCAGAAAAACTAACCTTTAATTAAAAAAAAATGGAAGAAAAAATAAGAAAGAAAAATACTTTTCAATTATGTAAAAAAAAAAAAAAAAACTCATAACAATTTCTATTTATAGATATTTAAATTAATCTTAAGGTTATAAATCTTTAATTGTGTTGTTTTAATAAAAAACTATTTTTTTTTTGAAAAAATATCCTTTTAAATGATTAAGGATGAGATAGTTTATTAAACTGCTTGATCTTTTAATTTCAGTAAAAACCATTGTTCACGTTTCATAAAATTGTAATTTTTCACATTAAGTAGCCGGCTCTACCAAGAAAGCAGTCGATTGCCTTTTTGTAATTTTAATCTCTAAAATGTTGTTAGACGTAGAAAAATTTATTCATCCTTAGTGTAGTCGGCTTTTTTCAACTTCCAGAAATCATTCAATAAATAAGCAATTGATTGTTTCGTATAGTCGTCGACTCCTTTTAATTTTCAAAAAGGTTTTACCCTCGATCTACTATAGAGCAATCGACTTTGTAAGTAGTTAATGCTATCATCTTAGATCTCTTTTTAAAAGACTGTCACACAATAACAGTTGATCTCATTAGGGTTTGAAATTGATTTAACTTATTTCTAGTTATAGGAATCATTTGCTTCAAGGATGACAGTCAATTACTGGCAATCGACTACTAATTTATACAGAATCTAAGTTTAATTTTAGTTTATGAAAGCAATTGATTCCATGCATAACAACGGTAGTCAACTACTCTTTTTGAAGCATGAGGCAACCAACTCCTTTTTATTGCGATTGAAGCAATAATCACAATAATACAAAAGTAATAGACAACAATCAATAATTAAATACGTAAGAAAAATAAAGCACATCAAGATTTACGTGAAAAATCTTTCAGTGTAGAAGGAAAAAATCACGGACCAATAGAAAAAATCTTCACTATCAAATAATAGGTATACAATGTTAGCTAAAACTAGAGCTAAACAACTAGAGAAACAATTGGAGAAATCTCATCAAATAAGTGACTCAACAAATACAATCTGAATTTGTTCCTAGAAAGCTTCAAACCCGATCTTCACCATTCAGAATGTAGAACTCTGAATCATAAACCTCCTGACAAGATTTCAACTCAATCGGACCACGGATCGATTTCCATTCAACCAACTCTCCTTTCTCCTTTTTTTCTCTCTATTTTTCTTAGCTTTTCTTCTTTCTCTTGATTTTCGACACATACCTAAAACAACCTCACCTCTTTTTTATTAAGTAATTAGGACTCTGTGTAAAATAAAAAATTAAAATCCATGATTTTTATTTGATCTAAAATCACTTACATGATACTGAACCTCAATTTTTTAACACTTTTAAGTATACGATAGTCGACTGTTTATATGAACAGCCTTCTATATTTGATTCTTTTTTAATTTAAAATTATTTTCTTCAAACAATAATTTAATATATTTCTCCTTTGATTAAATAATTTAATGCTTTCTTTCCAAATACCGGCATTAAATGACCATAGGGAAGAGCTAGCGGCTCTTGCCCTAAGGCCAACATAGAGGTTAGATTTTTAGGCTGCACCTCGATCCAACTCAAGTCCATTGTATTATTTATTAATAAAATAATATATCTTTATTTAATTTTAATGCCTTACCCATGAACAGGTACGTGGATCAAACTCGACCTCCGATGATTAGTACCAAAGGTCATAAGCCATAGTAAAAAAAAAATCTTTTTAAATAAAGGGAAATTTTTTTTGTACAGAAACAAGAAATTTCCATTAATAAACAGCAGCAAACAAATTAAGGGCAATTAATTCTTAGCATATACGGGAGAAGGAGGAGGGTGACCCCACAAAGCATAAGAGACCCAAAATAAAGAACTTTACATCACAGTCACATAGCTACCCAACGACTATTAATTATATAAAACGAAAAAAATATTAAAATAAATTATCATATAAAAAATCAAGAGTGTGTTACCAATAGATCTAGTAATTTGTATTATTGTATTGTATAAAATATTATATTTATATTATATTTTATATAAAAAATATGTATTAAATTTATTTTGATATGAAAATATAAAATATAATTTTTTAATTTTATTAAACAGATTTATGATTTTTATAAAATTTTAAATCATATTATTTTTATATATTTTATTTATATTATTTTTATATCATATTATTATATTATTTTTTAAATTATCAAATTTAATTATCATAAACTAAAAATTTTAGTGATACTAGATTTTGATTATGTTGAATAAGAAACTATATAACCATTTTGTGCTATTTTAACAGATAATATTATTCAGTTTTGACCAAACCAGCTATAGCTTGAATGCATGGTTGCCTATTTCAAGCTGGCCTAGGTTGGGAAGCAAACAGGCCAGATTTGGAGTAGGTTTGGTTCATAAAGAATATGCATAGAGTACAGGGCTATAGAGCATTGTCAAAATTTGGTGGAACTTTTTGTCTACACAAAAAGCAAGAACCTATCTCGTATCAACTACTGTCTATAGGTGGCGAAATGAAAAAAATTTTATTTGGTAGAGAGAAAATTATATAATTTTGAAGATAAGTACAGCAAAACAGCTTAAAAAGATATTAGGCTAGAATTGTAGGAATGAAAAGGATGTGACTTGGTAGAGGTTAAATGGTTATCGCATATCATTGTAAGACTCCAGATCATATAAAAAATAAAAATAAAAACTCATTTGTTTGCAAAAAGAAAAGTAATTTCATATTTTGCTACAATAATCCATCTTATCTTAGTGTATAAATGATTTGATTAACATTGGATTTTAAGTTTTGATTGTATTGTCCAATCGCATTGGAATTGTTGACTCAAATTTAGTGGAATTTAAGATTATACTAGGATTACAATAGTTCTAATATTACATATTAAGCTAGTAATTCAATTGAACATTCAAGTTAACGGAATCGAAATCAAATAATTAATTAATTACATAAGATGTAATAATTTAATATGGTTGACTCAATCGATTTATATTTATAGATAAAAAAAATTTACTAGTTATAAAGGATTACAAACATACAATCAAATTAATTACTCACAATTAATACCTATAAACCCTCTCATTCTTCTCTAGTTCTATAAAGTTTTCTCAATCTAAACAAACAAATACTCATATGTACTCATGCACAATATTTATGTGGATTATCTCAATTTCCTCTAATCCACTCACAAATAAACACTTACATAAAAATGTTAATTTTTTGTAATTTTATGAGGTGTTTATCCAATAAAATTTTATGATTTTTTTATATCTTTTTCTTATAAATAACTCTGTAAAAATTTTACTTATTTATAAACATACAAACTTGCCTATCAAGAATTTATTTTCTCTTAGAATTTTTCTTATGCAAGTTTTTTTTGTCATCTAGCAATATCTAACCAATTTCAAATAAATTTATTATGTGATTTAAGTCACTTTTCCTAACAATTTCCTCCTTAACTCAAATTTTATCAATTATCAATCTCTATGCTAGACATGCTTGCTCCACTTATAATGAAATCTCACAATCATCTTCTCTGTATGTCTTCACACTTCGCACTTCATGTAAACTAATCTATCAAAATATGAACTTAAACTCTTTTACTTAATCGAGCCGCTCTAAACTTGTCTCTTTGCACATCTTGAACATTCAGTTCTGATATCACTTGTTAAGATCACAACAGTTTTAATACCACATGTTAGGCTACCAATCCAATTGAACATTCACACCAACAAAATCAAAATCAAATAACCAATCAATCACATAAGAAATAACAATTTAATGTAGTTTGGCACAACCGACCTATGTTCATGGATAAGAAAAAAAAATCAGCTAGTTGTATAAAATTACAAACATCAATTAAATTAACCACTCACAATTAGTATTTATAGACCCTCTCATTATTCTCTAATCTTATAAAGTATTTTCAACCTAAATAAATACATATCCATATGCACTCATGTATCATATCTATGTGGATCATCTCAATTTTTTCTAATCTACTTTCAAACATGCACTCTCATAAAAACGTTAATCTCCTATAGTGCTATGAGATGTCTACCCAATAAAATCTTACAACTCTTTAACATTTTTTTTTCATACTTAACCTTGTATAAACTTTATCTATTTATAAGTATACAAATTTGCCTATCAAAAATATCATTTTTTCTTAGAATTCTTCTTCTTCTTGTCATCAAGTAATATCTAACTAATCTCAAATAAATCTGTTATAAGATTTGAGTCACTATTTTTAACAATAGAATAAGCCCAAAACAAAAAGAAAAGTATGCAAATATATTTGTTTCAACCTAACCTAAAATGGCTTACTTCAAACTTAATATACTAATAATTATATCTTTACAACTATGATACTTTTGGAATAA